AGCCTCCCAAAGAGCTCCTCAGAGTCTTCAGACCACCCACCAGTGTCCCCAAAGGCCAAAATGAAAGACAAATACAATCAGGCCTATTCGTCACCAACTTTATTTCTGGCTTCAGTTTGACAGTCAATGAAACAACTTGTTCAATGTCCCCTCCCCCAGTGTTCAAGGTACCCTTCTATATATTATTAACTCTTTGCTAACATATTTAATATTTAAATACAAGGAAAAACAATAAATTACTCGTTGGCTGAGAGCTGGCTGCTGGCTGGCAGAGTTCTGCTCCTCTCCTGACGCTGCCTCGGATGAGGCTTCGAGGCCCCAGGACCCCAGTGAGGTAGCAGAATTCTGTATACAGTACTTATTACCAGGGACTCCTGGTGTCCACTGCTTTAGTGCTGGGGCCCTGAGTCTCTGAACCCTTGACTCCAAGTGCCAGCAGCCACAGTCTTTCCCAGTCCCCAACGCTGACAAACACACTCATTTAAATAACACACAAAAATAAATAAGGCCAAGAAGAAATGTGCCTGAGCTGCTCTCTGCCTCAGTTGCCTGTGTGTGAAGTGGGTACCTCTCCCACCACATGTCTGGCAAGGGGGGCACCCACTGTAATGCTACAGTGTGCTCTAGGGCAGGGGAGGGGTGTAGGGATGCGTCATCCCCGGATCCACTGAGCTCAGGGCCCTGGACAGAGGAGGCCCACCAGGCTGAGCCCTGGGCAAGGGGAAGGCTGGGGTCGGCTAGGCTGAAGACAGGCAGCACAGGCTGAGGTCTAAGCTAAGGAATTTTACCCCCTCCCTAACCCTCTTCCCCACCTCCCCAAGACACTTTTGACAACAGAAAGAAAAATGAATCTGCAACTTCAATAGTCAGGTCCTGTCTCTGCAAATAATGATGCTTTCGATGTTTCAGTTGAACTGTCCCTCGCGAAAAAGTTTCTTTAAATGTACGAGCAGGTCCTTTACAAACTGGGCCACCTCGATTTTGGTGTCTCGGACACGCAAGCTGGAAAACTGCTGCAGGACAAAGAGGCCAGCGCGTGAGTGGGACGCCAGAGGGCAGAACGGCCCGCACAAACCAGGGGCTTTCCAGGGACTGTCTCGTTCAGTCCTCACGGAAGTCCCCAGGAGGTGAGTACTGTTAGTACCTCTACTGTACAGATGTGGACATTGAGGCCCAGGTAGGAGTCAGGAGCCCTTGAGCCCAGGTCCTGTAAATCCCGAAGGCCATGTCCCTGCTGCCACAATGTCCCCCCCCCCCCGGGTGGACACACACCTTGGGTATTCAGCCAGCTTCCCTTCAGTGAGCCCAGGGTTGGCAGGAGGGGGTGCAGGGTGGGGGTGAGAGGTTGGGGAGCACCTTACCCCAGCTGAGACCTTGTGCGGGCAGAATCCGTTCAGCATCCTCTGGGTCTTCTCGATGGCACTGCAGCCTGACACGTTGATCAGGGATTCCAGGGCTGCACAGTACTGTGGAGAGGGGACACTGAGGGGTCAGGCCCTGCTGGGGTGGCTGCCTTTTGTGAGTCTGTAGGAAGATGGGGCTGAGATGCCTGGTGCAGATGAGTCTGGGTGGTGGGAAGGGCCCAGATTATTGGGGGAGGGAGGAGAGCGTTTGAAGCTTGCTTGGAACCCCAGCCATGGAAGGGAGTCTCAGAGAAGACAGGCCCAAGGCCTGGAGCCTCTGCCCCATCCTCCCCGCACCTGAAGGTCCTTACCACGCCAGCTGTCAGGTTGATGCTCCACACCATGCTGCCATTGCAGAGCGGGGCCTGCGGGAGCAAAGTGACAGTGAGCAGAGTGCTGGCAGGGGTCGTGGGCCTGCCCTGCCAGCCCAGGCCAGGTCTGCACCAGCACAGGCCCCACACGCATCCCTCGTGTGGCGCAGAGGCAGGCCTGGCAGCCCCTCAGCGTTCCTGAGCTTCGTTTTCTGCTTTGAACAGCGAGCATGGGGGTGAGGACCCATGTATAGGGTCTTGGAATTAAAAAAAAAAAATTGAGTGACACCACTAGAAAGGGACAAGCTGCATGCGAGGCTTGCCATAGTCAGGGCAAGAGGACAGGGGCCTGTGGAAAGGGCCAGGGTGGGGATGAGTGAAGTAGTGGTGGCCTGGGCCACTGTTGACCAAGACAAATCAGATGGGAGGCAGTGGGGGTCTGGTGTATTAAATGCCCTGCCTTCTGATTGTCAGGGAACATTGCAGTTAGGAGCATGGGCACTCTGGTGTTGGCCAGGCCCGGCTTGAATCCAGCCTCTGTCACTTAACCTCACTGAACCTTAGCAGAATGGGTTCATTGTACCTGCCTCTTGAGGTGGCTGGCAGTGATGAAATGACACATAAAGCACGTGTACCAGGCCTGGTGTAAGCAGCGCTCAAGACATGTGAGCTGTTACTAGTGAGGCAAGGAGTGGACTCTACTCACAAATCCTCCTGTAAGGGCAGGCCTATTACGGTGCTGGGGAGAATGGCTGCATTATTATGGTCAAAATCCAGCTGGCAAATGCCACATGGTTCTGGGAGGGTGCTGGCCCTTCTCTGCTGTCCTGTGTTCAGGAATGGCTGAGTAGGAGCTGGCAGTGGCAGACAAGGCCAGGCCAGGAGAGCAGGTAGTCCCTGGGGACTCTGCCAGACCCCTTCATAGGTCCATCCACACTGCTGAGCCCCCCAGCCCAGCTCCTCTCTCTCTCATGGCTGGGCCAGGCCTTGGTCCATGGGGATTCTTCCTGACCCATAGGCATCTTAGGATCCAAGCCCAGCCTGCTCATTACCTCATCCTGGGAATCACCCGCCCTGGAGCCCTCATAGCTAGGACCCTGGCTAGCCGACACTCACCTTCTGGTTCTGGGTGATGTTGACCAGCTCCTCAATGAGCTCCTTGAGGGCTGTAGAGGGAGGCACAGGGCTTGGGGAGGCAAAGCCGCCGAGGCAAGTGAGAGCAATGACCATGGTCAACAAGAGCGCCATGAGGCCCAGTGCCAACAGGAGAGGATTGAGGAGCGGACGCATAGGCTGGGTGGCTTGTGGCCTTGGCGTCTTGTGGCAGCTTTTATAGGCCCAAGTGGTGACGCCTGACACCATGGTCTCTGCTTTTTCAGGCACTATCTAGAAACCACATCTTTACTCATCTTGATTTTACTTTGTGGAAAATCCAGTGTCGCATAAAGGAAAGAGTTTGATTTCTCGTGGACTTATTGAGAAGGGTCCAGGGCAGAGTTTCCAAGATCTGGGTGGGTTTAATTCCAGCGGCAGGCAAGGGGCCCTGAGAGCGGCATGGCATCTGCAATGCTGCCCTGAGTTCCAGCAGTTTTGCCTGTGACAACCCTGAGTACCTAGACAGCTGACCCAACTCTGAGCTCCTGTCCTCAGACCCTTTTGGGTCACCGGAAGTGCTGGGCAGATAGTGCACTGTGGCTGTCGCCACAGTCTACCAGCTATGGGAATTCGGGGAGTTTTACTTTTTTAATAAACCAGTCTCTTAAATTACTTAAGTAATACTTGCTTGGATACAAAATTCAAACAGGCAATAGAAGAGTAAAGTTCACTTCTTTTGGCTTGCCTAATTCCTCCTTGGCCCCACTGTGGGAGGGATTGTCAAAAGTCAGATTTCCAGGTCTCCACTGAGCGATCCAGACAGGTTCAGAGGTCTTCCTGGAACCTTTTTTGGTGTTTTTTGTTTTTTTGGAGATGGGATCTCACTATGTTACCTGCCTAGGTTGGCCTCCAACTCCTGGACTTAAGCGATCCCCCCACCTCAGCTTCCAGAGTGGCTGGGAGTAGTGTGCACCAGTGTCTGGCCCCTTTAATTTAAAGTGCACGGGCCATCCTGCTGGGAAACTCTTAACCGGGCCAGGCTGGCAGCCTTAGTTCAGGTCAGAGATTATAAGTGTTCCTAGTGCCACTGGGACTTGGGGTGATCCCGTTTGCTCACCAGTCTCTGCAGGATCAACCCCTGGCATCTGGGGGCCTCAAGTTTCCCTTCTGCAGAATGAGTGATGTGGAGGGGCAGCTCCTGGGCCTGGCCCCTGCAGCCATGTCGCCTTTTCCTGCTCTTCCCTCATTTTCTTAGAAGTCCTCCAGAAACCCCCACAACAGAGGCCACGGCATTTGCCTGTTGGGTGTTGATGTCAAGATTTCTCCTTTACCCACTTCCTCCCCGAGCCAGCGCCTCCCCAGCCCCCCTCTCTGCCTGCTCAGGCTCCCTCCATCCTGTCCTCAATGGGGCTCAACCTCTTCACAAGGGTGTGCTTGTGACCTGTGCCACAAGGGATGCTGGATTCCCGCCCAGAGGCATCCCAAGCTTGCTCACCCTCTCTTCCCACAGGGAACATCATTCCCACCCTCTCTGTCCACACTCGAAGCTTCCCAGCCCAGCTGCTGGCCCTGACTCCCAAAAGTCTGCCCCTTCCCCTTGAGGGCCCCCAGTGCCTGGAGTGCCGCTACTTGGCTGTGTGACCCCTCTACGGGCCTGTTTCCTAACCTGCAGTAGAGAGTCCATGGCATCTCCCATAGGGTCTCCATCATGGGGGAAGCAGCGGGGAACTACCCTGGGCTGTGCAACTCCCGGTGCCCCGCCCGGATGAGTCAACGCCCCCGTAACCCCCACGGCTACCAAAAGCCCAGCCGGGAGCGGTGGGCAGGCGCGCCCCCGCGCGTGGGAGAAGGCGCTGGCGCGGCGGTTGCGGCGGCGATGACCCGCGGAGATAGGGGAGTGGCCTTATGTAACAGGAGATAGGCCCGATAAGCGGGATCTGCGCGGCCGGGCCCTCCTCCACGGCCTCCGGCGGTGGCCGGTGCGGGAAGCATGGGTGGGCGCGCAGACCGGCCTGTCTGGAAGCTACGGAGGCTGGCGAGGGGACGGCAAAAGTGGAAGTGGTGGTCCGAGCGCCAGGCAGGGCAGGGGCCAGCTGGACACCTGGGCCCGCGGCGCCCCGTGCGCCAGTGCGCACCGGCGAGGGCGGGAGCGGCGGAGGGGCCGAGGCGCGCACGTGCCCCTCCAGCACCGGCCGTATCAGGCCGAGGGATCCTGCGGGCTCGGCCGAGCGGCAGCACCTGCCCTCGAGGGTGGTCTCCGCGGACCGAGGCGTGCCGGGCCGTGCGGAGAGGCGCGGCCCAGATGGCTACATCAGAGGGTCTGTTGTTTGTTTCTAGATTGTCAGTGGAGCTCCACTCCTGTGCGGGCAATTTTAATTAACACTAACTACTAAAGGGCCGCTCCAGGCACTTGGCGCATGTGGCTCGCACCTGCCTGCAATGCGCCGCGCGGGCCGCCCGCTGATGGCCATGCGGAGCCTCCCCGCTTTGCTCTGGCGCCGAAGCGCTGGGATTGGGACCGCCCTTCCTCCGGACCAGCTCACCCTGGAAAAGCTGGGAAAGCTGGGGTTGCTTTTTCGGGTTTCCTCGGACTCTGGGTCTCCGTTGGCAAAGACATGCCCAGTCGGGAGGAGTAAGGCCTGAGAGAGTTGTTTTAGTAAGTGAAACGATTTAATTTTTTAGATTTTTATTTTTAGGAAAGTTACGAATGCCGATAATTGTAAAAATCAAGAAGGTTCATTATGTAAAGCGGCAGCGCTGGGAATCCGTGCTCTACGGGCCTCTGGCATTGCTGCTCCTCCTGTGAGTGAGGCACTCACTGCCCTGCTGTTTCCCTTACTGTCTTTTAAAGGTTGTTTATATTGCAGACAGCCTTGGAAGAGAGCTAAAGGCAGGCGCACTTCCCATTCTAAAACTTCAGGCTCCCTAAGCTCATGACTTCCTCTCCTGTAAAGCAACCCATTTGTGCAGGTGCCAGCTGGCCCTCTCTGCGTCTCCCTGGGAGAACTGGAATTCAGGGGACAAAAATGTTCATGCTCTGCTACTACTTCTGTGCATAATAAACATGTTTGCCGTTGATGGAAGAATCCTGTGTCTTCTACCAGCATCCACGAAACTGTGAAGTGTGGCATGCTGACTTGTTAGCTTGTAAGTAGAAGAAAAACTCAGATCTCTCCATTTTTGACAAGCAGCCTTCCCCCACCCCAGCCTCTTATCCAGGGAAACCTCTTTATCTCCCTTCATGGTTCTAAATTAAGCCTAGGTTGCTGTTTCTTGATTTTTTAGACATAGGCGCTGTTGTCTACAATGAATATTTCGTTCTTTCTTTCTTGCTGTCCTTCCTCCACCTGCATCCTTCCTTTTTTCTCATCAATACAGATAGATCATAATTTGGGTCAGTCAAAAGCCTTGTATGCTGTTTGCCTAATGATACTAATATATTCACAGGTGAAACATGGTTGGCTATGATTACTTTTATTTTCTTTCAAACCTTTTTACCTCTGGAGTTAATAATTATCTTGTTTTTCCATATTCTTAGTTTTCTGTGTTCTCTCAGTGACTGAACCCTAAACTCTCGACCAAATACATAAAACTACTCTCAAGAAATTTGATGAGTTTTTCTCATAATTCATCTTCCTAAGAAAGCCGGGAGGTCAGGCCGTCTGGCCTGCTCTGATCTAGCACTGCCCCCGACCCTGCCACACAGCCGTCGTCCTGAGGCCTGTCGCCACTGCTCTGGGAACTCCCTTCGCCACTATGTGTGCTTCTCTTGAGTTTTTGATCTTTCTTTTTTCTTGGGTAAACATATCCCCTGATAGCTTTCTAATAAAGGGTGTGGAAAAGGTAAACTTTTTGAGAACTTGCATGTCTAAATAGATGTTTTATCCTCAAGTTGAATTTGACAGTTTAGTTAGGTATAGAATTTTAGGCAGGAAATACTTTTCTTTCAGAATTATAAAGGCCTGTGCTGTTGCCTCCTATCTTCCAGAAGTGCAGAAGTCTAGAACCACTTTGAATCCAGATCTTTCCTCACTCCTTTTGTAGAAATTGTCTTGGTCCCCACACTCCACATTTTACAACAATGTGCCTTGGTATAGTTCTGTTCTCAACAACTGTACCAGATACATAGTGGGCCCTTTCAAACTGAAGACATGCCATTAAGTTCTGGTAAATTTTATTTCTTTAAAAAACCTCTCTGTTGTTTTTACTTCTTTGATTGTTGTTGTTGAGACAGAGTCTTGCTCTGTTGTCCAGACTGGAGTGCAATGGCGTGATCTCAGCTCACTGCAACCTCCGCGTCTCAGGTTCAAGGGATTCTCCTGCCTCAGGTCCCGAGTGGCTGGGAGTATACGCACCCGCCATCACACCTGGCTAATTTTTTGTATTTTTAGTAGATGCGGTTTTGCCATGTTGGACAGGCTGGTCTCCAACTCCTGATCTCAGGTGATCTGCCCGCCTTGGCCTCCCAACATGCTGAGATTACAGGTGTGAGCCATTGCGCCCGGCCCTATTTTTACTTCTTATCTTTGAATAAATATTCCATTCACATGGCACAAAAATAAAAACTATATACATTATTTCTCCTTTCTCCCTTCTTTGGGTTGTACATGGTATCGTTTCTTGTTTGGTTGTTCAACACAGAGGTTAGGGACACCCATCTTCACCCTGTTTTTTCAACCCCCAGCCATGCAGTTGAAAATCCACATATAACTTTTGACTTCCTCAGAACTTAACTCCTAATAGCCTATTGTTGAGTGGGAGCCTTATTGATAACATAAAATGCATTAACACATATTTTGTATGTTATATGTATTATATACTGTATTCTTACCATGAAGTAAGCTAAAGAAAATGGTGGCTAGGTGCAGTGGCTCATGCCTGTGATCCCAGCACTTTGGAAGGCCAAGGCAGGCAGATCATTTGAAGTCAGGAGTTTGAGACCAACCTGGCCTACATGGCAAAACCCTGTCTCTACTAAAAATACAAAAATTAGCCAGATGCACTGGTGGCACATTCCTGTAATCCCAGCTACTCAGGAGGCTGAGGCTGTAGAATCACTTGAACCCGGGAGGCAGAGGTTGCAGTGAGCCAAGATCACGCCACTGCACTCCAGCCTGGGTGACAGAATGAGACTCCATCTCAAAAAAAAAAAAAAAAAAAAAGGTTGTTAAGAAAATCACAAGGAAGGAGGAAAAAATATATTTCCTCTTCATCATTAAGTAGAGGTGGAACATCACAAAGGTCTTCAGTGTCACTGTCTTCACGTTGAGCAGGCCAAGGAGGAGGAAGAAGAAGAGGGGTCGGTCTTGTCATCTCGGGTGGCGGAGGCGGGAGAAAATCCATGGGTAAGTGGATCTGTGCAGTTCAGAACCTGCTATTCAAGGGTCAACTGTGTACGTAAAAAATTTAGTGGAATCTCCACCTTCCCTCACAAATAACAATTTTTCTTAGGTGTTTTTTTTTGGGGGGGGGGTTATCCTATTTGTTTATGTAAATACAAGCAACTGTGGATATATGGTCTTATTTTCCCTTGTCCCTACATGTGAAGTGGCATCATATACACCTTTTGCACCCTGTTTTTTCTCACTTATAAAAATAATATATTTTTGTATTCACACTTAAATTGGGATATTTTATGACTTTTCTTCTCTGTTCTCTTTCTTCTCTCTTATTGGAACTGCCATTTTTTGATTATACCTCTTGGACTTGTCCTTGAATTTTCTTTTTATTCTAAAAATTTCTCTCCTCTGGGATATTCTCATAGCTTCATCTTTCTTCCTGAGGGCATTTGATTCTTTGAAAGTGTGTGTGCACACGCGCACATGCACGCTAATGGTACTGTGTTCTTGTTTCATTGATGAGATAGCTTCTAAGTTTCCTTTCTCATACATAATCTTTATTTTCTCCAAGTTTTCTTTAAAAAATTGTTTTGAACTGGGCATGGTGGCTCACGCCTGTAATTCCAGCACTTTGGGAGGCCGATCGCTTGAGCCCAGGAGTTTGACACCAGCCTGGGCAACATAGGGAGGCTTCATTTCTGCAAAACACAAAAAAAACTTAGCCAGGCATGTGGTGCATACCTGTGGTCCCAGCTACTTGGGAGGCTGTGGTGGGAGCATCACTTGAGCTCAGGAGTCGAAGCTGCAGTGAGTTGTGATCACACTACTTCACTCCAGCCTGGGTGACAGAGCCAGACTCTGCCTCAAAAAAAAAATATTTTTTCCATGTGATTGGCTTTCCTTGCATGTTAGGGGATCCTGGATTGCCTGCACATGTTAAAACAGGGAGCTCTGAGGGTAAATGTGTGGGAGGGGGCTGTTTCCTGTAGGGCGGGTGGCTGACTGTTTTCACTTGGGGAACCTCCTGTGCCAGTTTCTTTGTCGTTTTTCGGCAGGCAGGTCAGCTCGCGCAGAAAAGATTCTCCCTGTCTCCAGCATTCTGGCAGCAAGGGTGGAGAGAGGGCTGGGGTGGGGGCCTTGGCATCTGTTGACTGTTCCTGATTTCAGCATATTTCTTTTTTTTTTTTTTTGAGACGAAGTCTCGCTCTGTCGCCCAGGCTGGAGTGCAGTGGCCGGATCTCAGCTCACTGCAAGCTCCACCTCCCAGGTTTATGCCATTCTCCTGCCTCATCCTCTCGAGTAGCTGGGACTACAGGCGCCCGCCACCTCGCCCGGCTAGTTTTTTGTATTTTTTAGTAGAGACGGGGTTTCACCGTGTTAGCCAAGATGGTCTCGATCTCCTGACGTCGTGATCCGCCCGTCTCGGCCTCCCAGAGTGCTGGGATTACAGACTTGAGCCACCGCACCCGGCCGATTTCAGCATATTTCGACTGCCCTCCACTGTGTCTGGTGTTTCTCGGTCCAGATATCCTGTCTGGAGAAAACCCTGCTGCAGGAGGGTCACCCAACTTTGAGGAACAAAAATGGATATCTAACTGTTTCTTAAACTGAGTTTCAACAACTTTCCTTATTTTCACTGACCCTTGCCCTTCCGATGTTCTTGGTCTTTGCCCAGTTCCTGAGCATTCTTGGGACTCTGTAAATCACCATGGGTCTCAGCTGGCCTGCGATGCCGTTTCCTTGGGTCAGCCAAGTAGTCTGCCCACCGTCCATCCACTTTCCACCTTTCCAACGCTGGTGCTGCCATCCCTTTCTCCCATTTTGGGGCTTTTAAAACTTTAGAAAATTCAGTTACTGTCATTTTGGTTGGTTATAAAGTGGGAGTTTGTGTTTATTCCATTGTTTTTACTTGGAATTTAAGTTTTTAATGTGGAGAATTTATAAACAAGACAAGCAATAAGAGGCAAGCACTAATCTTGCACCCCTTGTCCCTGGCGCTATTAACACCTCTGTATCTTTGCTGTGCACATTTACATTTTGTTAGAAAAATGAGATAATACACTATATGGTTTTTACTCTTTTTTCACTTAAATTATATGAAGAGCATTCTCCAATGTCAGTATTCTGCATTAAAAAAAAAGATTACACAAAAATGTTATTGTGTAAAGTACAGATATGCAAAGAAAAAGCCCCATAGTCCCAGCATCCAGAGATAATAATCATTGTAATATTTTGGTATCTGTCATGCTAGTATGTGGGTATGTACAGGGCAAGTACCTTATTCCTAAAATAAAAGGAAAATAACTTTTTTTTTTTT